AAGAGATTCCTGAGGAGAGAAAGACTCAAAGGGATTCCGATGCAGAGCCCGTGTCGGTTTTTATGTCAATCTGGTATGAACATTCAGATGGATTAGGCTTTTTGAACTGCTGAGCGCTGTTCGAGCATAATCTATCAATTCAATAGGGTAGTGGACAATTTTTTGAAATATATTTTTTATTAATCTCCATAACAAAATAAATAGTAGTTGATGATTTTTTGATTTTAGAAAACAAAAATATACCTAAAAAAAAAAAAACAAATTTGTACTTATTTTAAACGCTATAATTTACCGCCCGGAAATTACGTCATAACTGTTATGTCTTATAGCGTCAAGGCATTCCGACATTAATAAGAGTGGGCGAGAGCGGGGTCAGTGCGTCCTTATATTTTACATGCTTCTAGAAAAAGATGCAGATAAGCTCAGTGCGCATTGATTGACAAATGGAAATCTCTCAAAAAGTGAGGTTAAGTTGAGGGTGCGCCTAGATGTGATAACACCAGACAGACGCTGATAATCTCTCTTTTTTGCACTAATGAGTAAGTGTGTGTCGAATATAGGTCGGAGGTTTGATTCATTTCAGACTCGAATACAACAGCTATGACGTAGAATCAAGGCGCGAAAAATTTTCGTTTGTTTTAAACAAAGTTAGCAATTTTTTCTGAAATTTCTTTCAATAGGAATATTTTTCATTTACTCCATAGATGAACAATAGATCATCGATTTCATTGAAATTATACCTTGTCCACAACCCTATTGTGATCTATTCGAATTAATATCAGATAGGTGCTAGTTATTACACTGGATCGCAGAACATTGACGTTTGAAGGTGAAGAGGAATATTTTTCTTCGTTAGTTCGATGTTGTCTTCTATGAAACTATTACCAATACAAGTAATACCCCAGCGGCTGTAGCCGCTTTTTGACTAGGGGATTGGGACTACTTCTGACCACTTTGAAAAATAGTACATATAGCAACCATGAGGTATTTATTTTCCGACAGTGCTGTAGGACATCTACCGCAATTCTCTCAAATGGACAACTTGACAAGCAGGTAGGTAGGTACTTACTCCTCCATTTATACTCAGGATCATGACTACTTCGTCCTTTCTTGGGAGTACAGATGTCGCATCTTTTGCACCAATCTGCGACATTCCCAACCAGTTCAACCAGTCTCATCGATCGCTTACGTCCGATTGATTCCAAAGTGGCCACCACTTCCAGTACTCTGCAGTTAACGTAGCACTCAAATCTGTCCACCATTGTCCGTGGCACATCGGTCAGATATACTAAATACATACTAGGCTTTTCCCGTCTGAACTCTGGACATTTATGAATTACATATATCAATCCATTTTGCATGCACAACAAATACAATTTAATCCTTCACTGGAAATATCTTGCCATTTACGGCGCTATCCATTTTCAAGCTACCCATTTTCCATTTACGTGTCATCATTTTCTTTTTTCTTGACGGCTTCTGTCTCGTCAGCATTAGTTTAAGTTTTGCGGTATATACTTGGCCTTTATCTGTTGAACAAGGCGTCCAGAATTTGTGGCTGCTTCCTTCCCTTCCTGCCTTTAGAAAAATTTACAAGAGTTGTTAATCATGGTCTTCATAATGTCAGCGTTAGTGAGACTCTAATCACGCGCGATTTGTCTTTCTGGGGGTTTAAAATTTATTAGCCACTGCAAAGCAGAATGGCCGGGGCCGATTCCAACTAGACTGGATGGAAAATGAAGTTTACTGTAGATCTAAAATGTTTGGCAGACGATAAAGGCGATGAGGTAATTCCAGTTTATGTTCCTGATCTCCAAGTTAGACTCGGAGTGGTTCAGGATTTTGCCAGAAATAGACTACCTACGTCTGAATAGGAATAAAACGAAGTTGAGACTCGAGAAATCCAAGTTCGAATCGCCCGTTGGATAAAGAAAATACAACCCGCTATACACCAGCGATGCTGTTGACTGAAAAAAAAATAAAGCTTCTCATGTGATGTTTGGCAGACCACCGGCCGATGAAGGTGAAACTGTTCTTCTAGTTTATGCCCAGAGTGTTTCACGATTTCTCCAGAAACACACTACAAAAATTATAACTACCGAGGGGGAGAAAATACAGGATCGACGCGAAAATCAACGACTAGGTATCAAAAGTGGGATAATAAAATTTCGTATATGATGAATTCAGGAAAACAGACGGCGAATTGAAAATGAAATAAACCATGTCCTAGCTTCGCTAAAAATTTCGGGAAAAAAAGGGGAGAAAAAAAAACAGTAAGAAGATCCTCTTGAAAGTATGTTTGCATGCCCCGATTTCCTCTAAAAATATTTTGTGTCTGACCATATTGACGGTTCTAGCAGAATCAGAACCATTCAATAGAAAAAAAAAGTGAACGAAACTCATCTCTGTTTTTGGTCGCGGAATCACAGTTCATTTACTTTTGCGAAACCTGCACTGAAAAAAGAGTTTATTTAATTGTAATAAAAATGGAGTTTATTCAACAACATATTATTATTTGTTTCCTATATGCGAAACAAATGTTTATTTGAAAATTCGTCAATATTTATTTAGCCTCTTGCTGGAACTTTTACTTTGACTAAACAAATAATTATTTAATTGAAATAAACAGGTTTTTGAAGCAATGGCATGATTTATTTAATTGAAATAACTTTTTTTACATAACTAGCATTAATTTTGAAATAAATACCTTATTTATTTGGTTTGAATTAAAAGAAATATAGCGGAATAAACGCAGTTTTCTAACAAATTCATGATTTATTTGGTTGAAATATTCTTTACTTAACGCAACAAGCCGACTTATTAGATTTAAATTAATATTTATTAATTCTGAACATCCACATCCCCTGGTGTTTTGCATGCACACAATATATTGCATCTCGAGTCTTAGCTATGGATGGCTTCCACTGTTTCTTGTTTTTCAATCTAGTTCTTGCCTTGGATGGAAGGAGACTCGACAAGAGGCATAGTTTTAAAGAGTTGAAATCTGGAAAAAAAATCCTAATTATAGTATATTGCATTACCTATTCAATTGCTGATTATTCTACGATTTATCCACTAAATTTTTATATGAAATAAAAAGTTTAGTACCTATATAAATTCAGTTTAGCCTGGATTATAAAAAGAGAAGGAGATTCAGGGTGTTAAATTTGGAATACTTTTTTTATCTTATAAAGAAAAAACTCTGTATTGTTTCCATACCTGTTGTTATTTTTCAAGAGTGTAGCGATGGAGCTGTCTGTTGAGTTCAAACTGCCATGTTTTAAATAAAATACTTTGTCAAATAATTTGTCAAATTGTTCTTGCAGTGGCAAATTAGCAGATTTGTGAATTTGATCAAAATCATAGGACATCTGGAAAAAAGAAATGTTCATTTAATATACTAAGACTTTCACCGTTGATCTTTCACTATATATAATTAATAATAGGTAGGTACAAACTTACCAGTTCATGTGCTAGCTGCGTTTTTAGTACAGGCCAGTCATCCAAGTATTTTTCTATTTTCGTATTTGTTATCAATTTCCTCACAGAAAACGATTGCCTCCAATGATCTAAAACCTCGGCTGGTGGTAAATCTTTACAAGTGAACCGTGGAACGCAGGTGTGAGGTGTGACTGGTGGTATGACTAGTACGATGAAGATGAAAAGCGATCCACACCTGCCGCAAGGCGTCTCGGCGAATTAAAAGCAAATCCGCATTGCAAATACAAAACTAGTTGTTCTAAACAAATATTTATTTTAATGCAATAATTCTTGAAAAAAAAACTTGCAATCAACTGCACTTTGTTTGATTCAAGAAAGGCATAGGTGAAGCAAATAATAATTATTGAAAAAAGAGCAAGTGACTCATTTTTTTTTGCGAAAACCGTAGAATATTGCACTGAAATAATATTTATTCAATGAAAACAACATTTATTTGGTTCAAAGTACCAGAATCATGGATACGAGATCTATTTCACGTGAAAGTTTATTTCTTTGAATCAAACAAATAAAAATCAAATAAATTTGATAAATTATTCAAATACTTCAGTTTCTTCCAATTTAATAAAGTGTGTTAAACATAAATATATTTCGTTTAGTTCAAATCAAGGAAAATCAAATAAACATTTGTTAGATATATTCTAAGAAATTTTTTTCAGTGTGGATATACAATGTAACGAAAATATTTTTATCTTAAGCGGTCTATAATTTTAACCTGATTGTTTTGAACACTTGATACGGACATGGCGGACATGGAAGTGTTCCATTATGTTCCTAGGACCATCAAGATTTTTATGTATAGGGTAATTTGTTTGTTTGTTTCTCGGTAGAGGCAGCAGAGCAGAGTCAATCAGCGCTATTATGTTCTTGTAATTAATTTTGAATCTTCTTCTCGCTAGATGGTAGCGTGAATGACCGAGTTCGCGAATTACTCCAAGAACATAATCAAACGTTAAGCTCAGCACAAAAAGACCCACTTCTTCGCCTAATGACATAAATAACTACGTAGCCATTCACATGAGCGTATGGCCACACTTCACATTAGCGTGAATCTAATGTTCCTATACCTACAGAGTAAAAGTTAAAAAGTATCAATAGATCATAGACGATAATAATAAACAATAATTCTAGAAATGAGAATCTGGGATAAAAATAGAATAGAAAAATAAAAGAAATATAAAATTAAATCATAAAAATATTCTGCAAAAGAACAAACTTGCATTTTTTTTTTCTTTCTGGAACATCTTATAGGTGTGAAAAAGTTTTCAGATATTAAGTACTATGTAGATCTAGATTTATCACTCGAAAGTCATCAAAATTTTATCCAGAAGAGCTTCCCATGGCAAAATTCTATCATCAATATTTCTAGAATAAAAAAAAAAACGAGCTTGAAGAGTAAACTAGAATTGCTTTGAGAAACCTTCAATGCGTGGTTTTCCCTGGCTTTTATTAGATAGTTTTCGATTTGCTTAAATTTGAATTTAATTTAATTTTCTTTCCAGCCCTTCATGTTCGTACCCACGTCAACGGTAACTCACATCAGCCTCATTCGCCTTCCTATGGTGAACCTCATTACAGTCCCACATCCTATACAGATGGTGCTTCCCCCACAGGATACCAATATGGCAGATTCGATGCGAGTGCCTTACATATTGCACACGCTCTAAAACAGACTGAATTGCAAAAGAGCTATAAAATTCATAGGGAAAAACCGATTGATGTATATTTAGTAAGTATAGATATTTTTCTGTATTATCTGTATTATCATAGATAGATAATATTTTTTATGCAAACTACCTATACGTTTTTTTTTTTTTTGTAATAAACAATAATAATTAAAATATGGGTAACTGCGCTTTTAATTGTTAATAATAACAGGCAAGCTAATTTGCTGATTCTAAACAATGCTGTAATTTATTTTGTAATTGCATGAAGTTAAGTTAGCGGTTTATTGCCGGAAGAAGGCTACAGTAAATAGTCACTTCATGCAAACAAAGTCAACGAAAAAGTGTATGAAAACCTTTAAAAATAAATTTAATTTGGAAAATCCTCAGAGATATGGTGAAAAATCGGCTTTTTCTAATTTACTCTATTTACTGATGGACTATCATGTTACATATATTATAAAAAATTGTAAAGATCACGAAGGTATTTTAACGGCAAAAATAAACGGTTAGGAGAGCACGAATTAAAAATGTATTTAGTAGTTAATTTAAACCAATTAGAAATCAAGCTATTCTTCTTCATGCACTGAAAAATTCATTCGTCAGAAAAAAATTTAATCCGGGAAATGAATTGAGCAAAAATAACTGGTTGAGTTTTAAGTTAAATAATATGTGGAAAAACTTTAAAACGCAAATTAATTGCAATTGCATATTTTGATAAATATTTACTAAGTCATGAGGATTTTCACAGAAAAGAAATTTTACTCACTTAGTTATTGTATAATTAAGACAAACCAAAGTTTACGACAAACCTACTTTGTATCAATAGATCTGTGGGTAAACAAACGAAACCGAGTACAATAATTCGGTCTGCCTACATAAGAAGGCCAACAGTGATGTCCAAGTATAAGGTCGCTAGTTATAGACAATGGCGTCACGCTAGTACTGGTATGAGAAATCGGTACTGCCACGATTCAAGAAAGTGTAATTCCTATGAAAATTCACAATAACTAATGGGTTGGTTATTGATGACTGATTAAACGAGGCAGGCCTTTGCAACGTCGTGAAATATGTAGTATGTACCTACATACATATATTTTTTCTACAAACGTCAAAAAATGACAAGGTTCGCGCATTGATAACAACATGCGAAGCGACTCTTTTTTTCACTTTCCTATGTTACCATGACACCGTGCGCGAAATAATGTGCGAAATACCTATTTCGCGCACTGCATGTAAATTATATGAGATTTTTGTATTTTACCCTTTGTGGTTCCCAATCAAGCAAAAATCGAAAAAAAATAATTTGATGCAAAAATCGAAGAAATTATTTATTACTAAGCAATAATTAACACTTCAAAATATATAAAACAAAATTGCAGGACCTAATTTTATTTATTATTAACAATGTTAACATTAATGGTACAACGTGGAAGACTTCGAACTTCCTAGACTTTTCTGCAAAATATGCAACAGCACATTTTCGGATATTTTTCTTGCTTTATTTGCTTTACACTACTCTTTGAATTGCTGATATGTATTTTCGTACTGGCGCGTCGATTTTTCTGGTAGAAGATTCGAAATTACCGAATTGGCCGCATCAATCTAATTAGGTGGAGTACTGCTAAGTTCATCGTCGCTCGAAATTTCTATTATTTCACAGCTAAAAATATCAGGAATTGAAAAACTAACACGAGCAAAAAGTAAAATGAATACTGTTGCTAATAACCAGGGCCGGTCCAATAGCTATTATATACCAAGGCAAAGCTCAATTCTGGCGCCCCCCTGCTTTTCAAATTGTGTTGTCAAAAGGGTCAAAAAGAAATATGATAAACAATGAATTTCTGTTCTCATAGAAATCACAAGCCAGAGAGTTTTTGATTGGTGCAAATCGCCAACAACCAGTTTTCTGTTTCTGTTTTCAACCAAACAAATTCGCTCATAGGTTTGTTATTTCTTTGAGAACAGGTCTATACTGTAGGTATATGTATTTTTCAAATTAACTTATAGTTCGCCTTACGAGTCTAGCACTACGACGTCTGAAGGGCAAGGGGGAATAACGTCATTCCTTTCGAGCTTTATGCTGCCTGTCATAGGCGTAGGCGCAGCATTTTTAAATATTACTTTTTCCTTATAAATGTAGGTGTGTAACATAGATAAATATTAAGGTATTTCTATGGTATTTTCTATTGGAAGTCAAATAGGCAATATTGCAATTTTTTTATCCGCATTCTTTCCATAGTGCTAGACTCGTAAGGCGCACTTTAATTCAAAAATAATTTCTTAAAACTGACTTTACCTCTTGCAAAGTCAGAGATGAGCTTGTTGATATAGGTCTATTTTCATAGAAATCACAAACCAGTCACCAGTCAGAGCGAATTTCATTGGATGAAAATAGTCAGAAAACTGGTTGTTGGCGATTTCCACCAATCAAAAATGCTCTGACTAGTTTGTGATTTATGTGAGAACAGACCGAGGAACAGACCTATAATCTACACGATTGAACATGCTTCAACCATAGAGTGTGTTCAAGGAACGTCAAAGGTTATAACATTTTCAATTCCTACAGCGAAAGTCCCGCTCAATCTTTCTTGAGACAAAGCTGTCGAAGGTGCCATGATGAGCGGTGTGAAATGACATGTGAAGTAAATTAACTATTACCGCACAATGTTATTAGATCTTTTATTTTTTCCCTATTATTATTGTGGCATAGAATATTTTTTTTTTTAGTAATCTTATTTACTAGAAATAAATTTGTTTGCAATTTGGCGCCCTTTAATCGTGGCGCCCTAGGCGGTTGCCTCGGTTGCCTGTGCGTAAATCCGGCCCTGCTAATAACTGAATCCATAGATACTGAATCTGTATACAACTGGCATTTTATTTCCATAGTTACAGTTATTACTTACCTTCCTGATTTTATTTTGGAAACACATTTTAAGCCAGTTCCACACTGACTGTTATATTAAACTAAGGTGTATTTTTTCCCAAGATAGATTTTGACATTGTCAACTTTGAAACATAAACAATACCGCTTGGCCCTGATTGGTCGCAAAATGAGGTGTCCCTGCAGGTTGGCATCAGTTTTACAATGCATGTCGCGCAAATGACATCTTGCGACCAATAAGCGGCATTGTTTATGTTTCAAAGTTGACAATGTCAAAATGTATCTTGGGAAAAAATACAATGTAAGCATATTACTAAATTTATTTTAGAACAATAATTACATATTTTAACGTTTGTAGAAAAAATATTGTTTGCAACTCGTGCGCGAAATACTTTGGTGATCTCGACTATTTTTTTAACTCGGCTGCGCCTCGTTAAAAAAATCAGATCTCGATCACCAAAGTAGCATTTCTCGCACTAGATACAAAAATAACTATTTTCAATAATGAAGTTCCAGTCAGGAAGTAGTTTCATCTGTTTTTTTTTTACCTACATTTAATTTTTTTCAACTTCTCTGGCAGATGTTTCGAAAGTTTTTTTTTCATGCAAATTGGAGATTTTGAGATTTTTCACAGAATTGTTTTGTGCTTATCTATTTTAAGTAGATTTCTAGATGTGGTTGGCGTTGGATACCTAGGAATTTATGTAGGTAAAAACTAGACAGCCGTTGCCGTTGGCTGTTATTTTTTAATACTCTCAGTGCCGGTACTTTTGCTCTCATTTGACAGCCGTTAAAAATAATCAGGGCTTTGAATGTGCTCTAACCACATCATACTTATATAGACCTTAGCCCATGCAAAACTTTGACAACGTATCAAATTCGTTAATCGAGAGCAAAAGTATCAGCCCTCAATCATGTTCTCGTAAGTCATAAATCACAAAATATTCGGATAATGCATATTCACTGGAAAATAGATGTTTTTAACATTTGTGAAAGAACAATAATTGTCCCTGATTCCACGGATCCAATAAAAGTATCTTTAGTAACAATACCAACTTCTATTGGATTGATTGACCTTAAAAAATTCACTTATCATCAAGGTATCGCTTTTTAAACTTTATACAAAAACATTCAATTCGAGACTTTTCCAGAATCCGTAAATGCTTCAATGCTTGTTCACAAGCTCGTCAGCTTGTTAGCACCAATGGAATTTTGTAAAACTGTATCCCTCTCATATCAGATAGTATACCGGTCTGACCAATTTATTTACGTGATAGGCGTTCACCCACCACAATGCAACCATCTTCTATGTCTATTCCTCCACTCAGATCCATAATGATTGCATTTATTATTTTCCGTCTCCCTTCTACCAGTGGATAGGATAGGGATCCTAAAACCATACCTGTCCTGTAGATCGTTCTTCGTCATAATTGCAATCATATTCATCATCCCCTCTATACATATGCTAAATAACTCTAAGGCCTGGTTTAATCATCTCCAGATAAACCTGCTGGTAACTATCTGTAAGATAAATTTACCGAGAATTCTATTGGTCGGCGGATAACTGGCCGAACAACGAGATTACAGATTGCATTTGCAAAAAACCGGCCATAAGCCTGTCAAATGAATTCCTTCTGGATGCCTTTTTGCCCATCCTCACGATTGCATGTTAGGAACCGGAAGAATTGTCACATGTTCCTGCTACCTTGTCTGCGTTTGCGCGTTCCGCGGACGGCATTATTCCGCATCGTATAGGAATCTGTTGAGCATCTATTCTGTTTGAAGAGTAATCTTGACCTTCCGAATCAACAGTCGTATCTCACCAATCTTCTTGTTTCGGAGTTTTCTTTCTTCGCTCATGGAATTATCACTTCCCCCGTGGCACAGATCACCTACATACAGATGCGAAAGAGCGATGAATTCGTGGTTCAAGGTTAATTTGGGTGGACATAGGCTTGCCGCACCAATGCCGCATCAATAAATCTTGAACATATTGACAATTTTTAAATTTCTTGAAACGTTTGTATGTGGCACTTTTGTCAAAAACGTCAAATGATAAAGTTCGGAGGGGGTGACATTTATAATAGATCACCCTGTACAAAAATATTGAGTTCGCAATTATTTATTTTTCTGTCAAATATGTGTGTTTTATGTTTTTATTGTTTTTGCTATGCCTACTTC